AAAGTGCACTGCCCACGTTTCGTTGCCGTTTTCGCTTCAGGACCCCGGCTGCGCATTCGACGTTCGCTACAGCGGAATGGATGGCCCGGCTTTGAAGTAGCGCACAGTTGCCTTTCCCTAACGGAGTTGGGCATCATGTAGCCCTGTTTTACTAGTATCTATTAGTCATTAATTTAAAAAGCTTAGTTCACAATTGTAATTATTGATTTCGAGGCAGTTGTCGATCCTCTCCATGGTTTTCCCTCATTTTCTCTTTGCCTGTGTTGCATCGTTGTCGAACAAGTTTTTCTTGGTATTTCTGAGTGAGCTAGCGACATGAGGACTATTTTTTGGTGAAAATTACTCATCTATTGTTACCTATCAGTCTTCCGTAGTTGCAATTTGTGCCTCAGCCACAGTTTTGTTGAGGTTACATTTAAACGTTTTCAAATTGAATTCGTCTAGAAATTGACAAGTACTGGTGCCATCATCTTATCAAGTATGAGTTAGATTTCTTCTGAATCAGGAATGTTCAAGCTTTAGCAGAGAGACTGAATCACGAGTGGAAGTTTACTTGATTTGTCTTGATATTTCAGAGTCCTCATCAAATTTGAATACTTCCAATTTTTACACCCAAAATAGTAAAGACTGATCCGATGCTTAACAACGGTTTGAAATATGATCTACCTAGAAAAGTTTAAGTTATGAATTTTCTGACTCAAAATGAATAAATATTTCTTTTCCAACTAGTTTCAGTTTAAGTGTTGCGGATATCCTCCGTCCGTGTCATATTTTACAATAAGCAGCCTGCAACTTTTTGATTCTGTTTGATTTTTATGAAGAATAAACAACAAGTTTTTGGGTCATTTTTGCTGTACCCAATTCTGTCTGTCTTCACTCTTCTGAATGTCGAACTGCTTTCTCGGAGTGCTATCCTTTATAAGGGATTTCCAAAATCTCTACAACTTTTTCCTGTAATTGTTTTCTGTTTTACTTGGTTCAGCTCGTTACGCTTTCACTTTAACCATCCGTATATTGTGCTTACTGCTGCGTTATTTAACGCTTGAACGCTTAATTACTTGTTGTTTGAAGGAAGATTGCATTTCAGGGTATGGGTCTAGTAAAGGTCGTTAAGAACAAGGCTTACTTCAAGCGGTATCAGGTGAAGTTAAAGCGAAGACGACAAGGAAAGACCGACTACTATGCACGAAAGAGGCTTACTGTACAGGACAAGAACAAGTACAACACGCCTAAGTACCGTCTAATTGTGCGTTTCACAAACAAGGATGTTATTGCACAGGTAAGAGCATTTCACTTCTTGAAATACTCTTTTTTTTCTGAAAGTATGAATAAAATGTATTCCCATGTGTTTTAAAGTAATTTTTCCCTCAAAAGGTAGTTCTGCTGGTTTGTCTAGTTTGATTGCCACAGTTAGGTATATACTGTGCGTTCTAATGCTCAAGTATTCTCTTTCGATCAATTTTTGGATCAGCAATAATTCGTTTTTTCCCGTGAGAATCGTGGCCGGTTATTCTTGATGTGATATATCCTTTTATATGTACTTTAATGATTTTAACATGCTAGACGATTGGTAAAATTCCAAAACTACAAATTTCATCAAATTCCGATATTTATTTAATAATTACAGATTGCGTACTCGAAAATTGAAGGAGACGTCATCGTAGCTTCAGCCTACTCGCACGAGCTTCCAGCCTTCGGCATCAAGGTAAGTCATTGCCATTTAGGCAGTGCAGTTGCACCCGTAGTTTTTGTTATTTTAGGTTGGTCTTACCAATTACGCTGCTGGATACGCCACAGGCTTGTTGCTTGCCCGCCGTCACTTGAAGAACCTCCAGCTGGACCAGACGTTTAAGGGTCAAGAAGATGTGAGTAGCATCCGACTTATTTTCCATCTTTTTCCTTCAAGTGTTTCTTCAGGTCAACGGTGAATTCTACACCGTTGAGAGCGAGGGAGGTCGTAATCCATTCAAAGCTGTGCTCGACGTTGGATTGGCTCGTACCACCACCGGATGCAAGGTCTTTGCTGTTATGAAGGGAGTTGCTGATGGTGGAATCGAAGTTCCTCACAGGTTTGTGCTTTTGTTTGTTTGTCAATTACTTGTTTGTCGTTCCAGTTTTTGTTCGTTAATATATTTCCTTTCTCTATCTATGAACTTTCAGTGAGAACAGATTCTTCGGTTACGATTCTGAATCCAAGAAGTACGATGCCGAGGCCCACCGTGATCGCATTTTCGGAAAGCACGTCGCCGAGTACATGCGTACACTCAAGGAGGAGGATGAGGATGCCTACAAGAGGCAGTTCTCTCAGTTCATCGCCAATGGAATAACTGCTGATAACTTGGAAGAGGTCTGTCCTAGCTGCAGTATTCGTTACAATTTCATTGCGAATTGTCCGCGGTCATCCTCTACTGCTCCTTTTTTACAGATGTACAAAAAGGGACACGAAGCCATCCGCGCCAACCCGGACCGTAAAACGAAGCCAGCCAAGAAGCCTACAGGAGAGCCTAAAAGGTGAGAGAATGGGTTTGATTGGCTCGTAATTATCCACACCTTTGCGGAGTTGTTATTCTTGAAATTACTTATGTTTGTTTTTCCCGTAAAAGTTATACTTTTAGATTTACCGCTAAGAAGATCAGTTTGGAAAAGAGAAAAGAACGTATCGCTGAGAAGAAGGCTTTATTGCTTCAACTAAAGGCCCAACAAGAAGCAATGTAAACCCTCTTAAATGTTATATTTTGATAAATGTTGTTGTTGTTATATCTGATTACTTGGCATGGTGGTAGTAGTAGCATGAATGTTGTTTTGATTCTTTGCACACCTGTTATAGCGGAGGCGAACTGTTATGGTGTAAGCTTTCCCATCCCAGCTTTTTTCGGTTGCCCAGAGTTCGTTTGTCCGGTTTATTTAGTCGAGCTAGTAACCAATTTTGATCATATTTGTACTGGCCAGCAGCAGAAATCGAGTAGGCGCTTCACTTTCGGGATATAACTAAGCTTTCACAGTTTTTAACAAAGTTGCTATATTTTCTCAGCGAGCCGTATGAGTTCTGTAACTCGGGTTCGGCCCTGATACAGAATGGGGATTGTTTGAACAGCTAGTAGTGCGTATAAGTCTCGCTAGTGTATAGTACATGGTACCATATAACAACTATTTTCAAGTTTATTTGAATCGCAAACAAGTATCAACAACAAGATATGTACAGAAGGAGACGAATAGGAGTATATAACAAAGTAACAATAAAGTAAACCTATTTTTGAACCTGACTCTATCGAGGATTCCACAAATCAACAAAATTTCAACAATTTAACAACTGCGCTTATTTAGCGTTAGAGATTTTACAAAATTATTGCTACATAAATGGTTAAGAATAAAAATTAACAACAAATCGATGGATGCTTTTCAGAAGGCAGCTTAAAGTTCAGAGAGGATGCCCCTATCTAAAAACACCGTGCACTAATCGGCCGATACAGGTGGAGAAAGCACGCACACTTTGTGGGAAAAAAGTGGGGAACAACCTGGTTATTAGTGGTAAAGAAACAACAAGTAAAATTAGTTTCTCATTGACTAGAAACAGTATAAGCGAGTTAGTGCGCGAAACCCCTCTTTAGTGTTCCGGTTAGCATGTGCACCAATGATTCGGGGACCATATACCATACTAGTGCGAAAGAGTAGTCGGTGATAGAAATGTGGAGAAGATCGATTATGATACTAGAAGGAGATCAGTAGTTGCGAGTACATCTTATTACTTCTTACTAATTATTATTAGCACTACTCAAAGCATTGACATGGTTAATTCAACCTGGCCCTGACCATACAAACATACAGAAAAAAACGCAGCATTTACAGAAAATAAAACCCAAAGGCTGTAATGAAACTGGAATGAAAAATATAATAACAACGAGGATCTTTCGAATTTTATGTTATTCTAAATAAACATGACGTAGAATAAATACCTAGGCGAGGAACTGCATCCAACCCTCGTACGATTCTTCGATATCTCGTTCATTATTATGACCCAGCGTTTTTGTGAAGACTGACCGAGTTGGTGCAGAAATTTTCAGAACGCTGAAATTATCAGGATAGAGAAATCAAAGAAATATAAAAAAGGCTTAAAAACAGTTGCTATCATCCCCAATACTATCCTTTAGCCGTGCCGCAAACGCGCGCGTACCATACCCTCTCAGTGAAACACGATCAATCAAAGAAACACTATTCGTTTTGATAATTCGTACACAGCCATGGATGGGTAATAAAATGGAATGGACACACTCACCTAAACGAATCTTCCTCATCCTCCCAGTGAACCCCACGACGTTTAGGTGAAGGTTCAGGAGAATCGAAAATATCAATAGGAACGTTGGTTGTTTGAAGCGGAGGGCTGTTTGGTTTTGATGGAGAAACACCCAAACCTAAATTACATTGAATATAATAACAACTGAATGTAAAAATACATCTAAACAAAAGTCCCTTTGAACGAAACTCAGAGCATGTACTCACCTTCACTTCGTACGTTTTCATTTTGTGTTAGCACATTTCCGGCTAGGATCGTCTCATCAACTCTATCCTCGAAAATATTGTACGGCGATTCTCGATTTTGATCTGATTCGAACAATCCCTCGGACATTTCCATTGTGGGCGGAGTCAGACTAGGAGGAGGAGCTTGCGAAGTACGTTCTTCAAATACACTCGGCTCCATAGTGGCATCAGCACCGGAACGATCCGATGAAGTAGTGGACGTCGAATTGAGGCGTTTTTGCTTCTCAGAACTACGGCCCACGTCGATTTCATCATGGATAACCTCAAAACAAATTTTGCTTACACCAAAGAAAAACGGAAGTCAATATAAAATCATTACTTGTGATGAAGATGCTCCATTCTGTGAAGAAGCCGAGGGTACTGTCCAGTTTTCGTCAAAGAGACTGTAGAGCTCCCTTCTGGACGGTTCAGAACCATACAAGCAGCTGAAAAAGGCAAAGACGGATTGTTCGAACCAAGTTTGATCGTTTATTCATCAGTAGTTCCCAGAGCACATAAACAGTAAGCCCTTACAGCACAAATTATGGACGACTGTTCATGGAAAGCACCACTTTTGTTCTCCAGTCTATACGCCTCAGCACCGAAATGGGTGCCCCCAGAGCTCAACCGACTCGAATCACTGAATTGTAATGGCCTTTAGTTTCAACTGTCACACATATATAAGGAGGCGCCGTAGCGGCACGGATTAGAGGGTTCTGGGTTGCGATTTATGGGTTATGTAGCATTATCTGGGTAAAAGAGTGAGGAAAACACTGACTGCTACCGTACAATACGCACAAGAAACCCAAGACACAGCTGCTAGGAATGAAAAAATAAAGGTTTCTGTCAAATACTCACTGTTTTGGGTTTTCAAAAAGCGTTTCCCTCAAACGATGTCTGTCTACGATCGAATTGCCGATCTCTTCGTTATTTGATTGTTTCGAAAACGACATTACATGGTCCCAGGACCGTATCTAAACACAATTATAGACCACTTACAACAAAAAAAGGTGCTGAATAAACTACCCATGGCTGGAAAATCACAGGTGCCTGCCAGGAGGAATCGATTTGATGCATTCTGTCGATGATACACTCGATCAGAAGGTGCATTGTGATCTTGGGCAAGGATGTTCGAGGATTAGAAGCAGCATCGTCCGCTCGTGAAATCAAACGCCTATAACATGACTCGAGGATGCGTAGCATATCTGAAAGAACATAGTAAAGTAATTAATCCGACTAGTAAGGAGTAATACCATTACTCCGACTAGTAAGGAGTAATACCATACCTCGAGCGGTTAACGGAAATCGCAGTTGTCGAAAGACTTCTGAATTTCGTTGTCGTAAAAAATTTGAGATCCTCTTGTACAACGGACAGGTATTCAAGTTATAACTTCCAACATCAACTATGCCTTTGGCAGCTAGTCTGAAGATTTAAATTTACTGAATTGAACAAAAAAAAACAAATCAACTTGTAGTTACTTTTTCACGAGCTTCCCTTTATCTATGAACTGAGAACGGAGTGTGTTAGCATCTTTATCAGTGCACTTCCTCAGAGCTTTTGTGTAATGTATTAAATCAGAGATCGAAAATCGCTGTTCTGGCATGACCTGAATACATAAAGGTTACCAGTAAGCCAAACGCAGAAGCAGAAATAACTTTGAGTCACCTCAGCTTTCGCACAGGCCCATGCTTGGTTTTCGTCAAATGACTCAAGGTAGGCGAGGTATAACTTGCTCAGNATGCCTTTGGCAGCTAGTCTGAAGATTTAAATTTACTGGATTGAACAAAAAAAACAAATCAACTTGTACTTACTTTTTCACGAGCTTCCCTTTATCTATGAACTGAGAACGGAGTGTGTTAGCATCTTTATCAGTGCACTTCCTCAGAGCTTTTGTGTAATGTATTAAATCAGAGATCGAAAATCGCCTTTCTGGCATGACCTGAATACACAAAGGTTACCAGTAAGTAAAAGGTAGAAGCAGAAATAACTCTGAGTCACCTCAGCTTTCGCACAGGCCCATGCTTGGTTTTCGTCAAATGACTCAAGGTAGGCGAGGTATAACTTGCTCAGCTGTTTCAAAATGCTCCGCCTGAAGAAAGAAATACAAAGCGCTCATTACAGGTTGGCATTTTTTTAAAACAAATACAGCCCTAGATTTCTCATCAAAAAGGACAGAATTCATGGTTACTGGCCTGACAAAACTGGTATCCCCCATTTGATGGGCAGCGAAAAGCAAGAACAACTGACACAGTACGTACCACTCATGTTTGATCTCGGGAGCTTGCAGCGGTCGAAACAACGGAATAAGTTCATTCCAGTTGAAATTAGCAGGGATGGACTTGAGGTCCGATGGACAAGACCGAAGATACTCGGCAACTTTTGACTCAGATAACGAAGACTTGGATACAACGACCTCTGAATCGATTTTCTTACAAAAAGGACCCTACTGAGGCAATGTTATATAGTAAAAAGATTACCAAATAGCCTGTAGTATCTATCCCTCGGGAGACAATTTCGTTCCAACATGGTTGGGTCTTGGGCGACGTCCTGAATCTTAGAAATACATGTGCGCTATGTGAATGCAACATTCCACACTTGCAAGTTCCATTGTCGAAAAGATAAAAAAAATAGCAAAGAAATAGAAAAAAGTCTCAATTTCCGTGTTCAAGTGAGATAAGACAGCGTTTTCGCGTTGCTGAACGCATAGTATCAAAAAATCTTATTGCACAGGTAATAACTCACCTTCGCAGTCCAACCAAGACGCTCCAATCGGTGCTTTTGGTGGGTAAAAGCGTTATCAACTCGTTTTTTCGATATGCCCAAGGACTCAGCAATTTGATATCGAGTTTTACCACGAAGAGCAAGTCTGAAGAAAATTTTGTAATACATTGGCAAACAGTTACTGTTTAACATACTCATGAATGCGTAGAACTGTCTCCTGTGACAATGGTGAAGGACCTCCGATATAATAGGGATCAAAAATGATCATCATTCGTCGCTGGATCTGTGCTGCACTTCGCCATTCCAATTTTCGACCTTTAGTGGATTTGCATTTAATTCAAGGACTTAATCTACTTAGTATGACTTAAGACTTACATAGTTGTGGCCACATTGCTATTTTGATAAGCAGATCATTCTGACGCCTTTGTTCTTTTACCTGAAACAAACCCAGCCAGACAAACTTTTTTCATATTAATCGATCACTTTGCAGACATTCATTCTCAACCTTGAAAATTGATACTTTCTAAAGTAATGGTGATTAAAAATCGAGCTCTGGTAAAGTAAAATTTTTTTTGCTCTTACAAATAGCCATGCCTACGACGGGCGCATCGTTAAATTTCATCCGATTAATAGAGGCCAATCGTAAAAGGAAAAAAATGTTACCCTACTAAACGACAAAGTTCGATAGGAAAACCAGGTAAAACCGGACTTAACTACCTAAATTCCAAATAACCAACCCTGGAAAGTGTTTCAGAGGGATAAAATGCAGTCTTACCATCCCCATAAGAATTTTTATAAAGAATACAATAAAGTTCAGTTTATCCAAGCTAAGCTGTAGTAGTAAAGCTTGTGAAGCAACTTACTATAGTTCAGTTTCGTAGTAGTAAAGCTTGTGAAGCAACTTACTATAGTTCAGTTTCCCCCTAAAATTCACACATTAGGCTGAAATAACTCACCGACTCCAGGCTACCAACATATCCCACATAAATGCGAGCGTCCTCATAGATGAATCCGTATCTCCGTGTAATTTTGAGCCAGTTCTTACGGATTCTGTCATCTTCCTCAATGGTAAAACGATCTCCATGTGCGAGTACGATACCTTCAAAAAACGTTATGAAATAAGTTTATTTATGCTGAAAAGTACAGGTTACTTTGACCGGTTTCGCTGCACCGTTTACAGCTGGAAGGAAAATGGCTCAGGACCGAGGGACTAGAAAATTGATAATGGATGTCATGCTCAATACCAGGCTCTAAAGATTCGAATTCGAAAAACGTGGCATGATTGTAGAGGTGGGAGGGGGAGTCTAGTGGACCAACGACGGACGATGCTCCACGAAGCTGAAAGGAAAGGTATATGGTGGTGCAGTAGGAACGGAATTGTCGCGTCGCGGCAGGAGGGACGCCGCGCGCGAAGGAATGTAGCAGGATGCAGCAGCAGGAAAGAAATACAGGCACAAAAGAACTAACAGCAGAATCATATTTAAAATAATGATCGCATATTAATGAGCTGTATGGAGAACGCCTGAGCTGTAATAACGGGAACGAATGGTCCACGACAGCCGCGTGCGGCGAATCGATTACACAAAACCGTTTCTACTGCCCGTCTCCCAAGTATATGGAGCGAGACCAACGATGCTCTTCGGCAGCAAGTGCAGGCCAGTAGGCAGGTATCATGAAAGGCAACCTCACTTGGCTGATACGAGTATGCTTAGATGGACCTACAGCTGGTTGCGGTTGGATCGGTTCAGGAGGACGTCAGTGTTATTATGCGGACAGTTTCTATGCAGCTGAAGGTGTAAGAACAACGTCTGCGATGAGAAAAAACGCACAAAGAGAATGGTAAAGAATTATCTGATAAGTTAGGCTATGAAATTCGATGTTCAAGGGAAGCGACCACGAGAGCCTAAAAGAATAGGTGGAGGAAGTTT